CCAAAAAATTTGCCGATATTACCGATACCGATACATCGGTACATCTCCACATCAGACTATAGGACACAACAGGGAATATTGTTCTAGTTAACGGGTTGTTAAGAATGATTGTTGCTATCTTTTAACGCCAAATTACGGTTTTGTTGGGCAGAATTGTTAAATCGATGGGGCGATTCTACGAAATTGAAATGGTCTGGTTCTTACAGACTTTGACATTAGAAAATTTATATGTGCGCATTGTTGCTTAAACATGAGAAAACGAACAAATAAATGCAATCTTACTGCTACAAGATAAGTTCATACTCAATATACAGAAAGAATAATTTGTCGCAGATTTCGCCCAAAAATTACAAGTATTACCTATTTGGAATAATACTTTAGTACAGTGATATTTAACCGAGTATACTATAATAGCTGAGAGTATACCAAGTCAGATCCCGGCTATACAAATAGCAATTGGTATACGATGAACTACAGCCTGATTCAAATAAATTTCTCGGCCCGTTTTGTGTTTTTGAACGCACACAGTTCCCATTCAACATCGGAACTCACTAATTCATAAAGTATTTATCTATCCAAGGCCACAAATTTTAGGAGATGAATTACATGAGCGAGTAGAAATCATAAAATGCAAAGAAAATAATTATTTGCGGAGAGATACGAAGAAAAAGTCAGCGGCTACGTTATTTCTGAGTACAATCTATAGTCATAAATCAACATTAATTTTGAGGTAGTTTGGTAATTTAGCTTATTTTAGCACATATTATATCTCGTGACCAGATTAACACTTCTGTCGTGACTTCGCTAAGCTAAACAACTTTTTTCTATTATATATCATTAAATAACCTTGTTTGCAAGGTACATACAAAGAAAACACGTAGTAAAAGGTTCAAGAGCCACGTTTCAGTGTATAAGATTGGGATCTTTTGTACAAAGCCCTTCACACCAATGTCAAAATGTGATATTTAATAAAACCACCTGCGCCAAGTTTTAAAAATATGTAATTATCTAGTTAGTGTAAATTTATATTTCCAGCGCAATCTGCATTTCTAACCTAAACTCTGACACAATAATTACAGGTTTATTATTCTGAACGTAAGCGGGGGTGTTTTGTTTTTACCGGGGGAGAGGGTGTACAAAAGATAGTTAAATTGATCCTAAATATGCAACTGGAATTGAAAGACTCAAAATATTTCGATTACATACTTGCTCTGCTGGCCAGACACTAAAGGCTCTCATCTTGCTCAGTGATGAATACCAGTCAAATGACCACGACGAAATTCTTTTGATGAAAGTGATGTACTGTTTTTCTAACGTCCAAGCAGTCTCCTAAAAAGCTGAAAATTAATGCATTTTTATTGTATATTTTTTCTAAAATAATCAGAGGTGCATTCAGCTTAGTATTGCGACGCAAAAAGAGTGAAAAGTTCGAATCCTAAATTGTTACAAAAAATAATTTTAAATTAGATATAATTGAAACTCGTATTGTGACTAATCACTAATATCAAATTAACAGCTAAACGTGGAAGTTCGGGTATCTGTGGTGGAATATATAAAATTTTACATAAGTAAAAAACCAGGTAATGGAAAGACTTCATGGCATTGAATTATTGCAGAGGACCTTCATAGAACACCTGGAACAGATCGACCCAGGGGTTCGGTTAAATCAAACCTAGTTTGAAAAAAGGAAACGACAGTGTCGTGCTCATTACGCCATATTCATTCGTTATTGCTCCAGTAAGGGTCGTTTAGAATTATTGTTGCTACTTTTCAACGCTAAAAAATAACGGGTATGTTGGGCAGAATAGTCTATGGCGCGATTCTACAAAATGAAAATGGTCTGGTTCTAACAGACTTTCCATAGAAAATGTATAGGCGCGCGTTGTTGCTTAAAACTATAGAAAAGACGAACAAAGAAATGCATTATTTCTGCTATAAAATAAGTATATACTCAATATATAAGAATAAAATTTGAAACAGATTTCCCAAAAAATTACAAATATTACTTTGTGGAATGATCTTTTAGTGCAGATATATTTAACCGGATATACTATATACCCAAATGTACACCAAATCAGATCCCGGGTATACAAACAAGAATTATCATAGGCGGAGAGATATACAAAAAAGTCAGTACTCCCGAATTAAGCCATCATTTCTGGTACAAATACTACGGAAGTCACTCGGCTAGTCCCCGAAATCGAAATATAACTAAAAAAGTATTGAAACAAATTTATGGCCTAACCCTAATCTGGTACACATACTACGTTCCAGTGTTCGCCATCTTGGTAACCTACTTCGGGAGTACCGAAAAATCTGTGGCTACGTTATTCGCTAATTTCTAAGCAAAAGTTATAGTTATAAACCAACGTCAATTTTTACGTTTTTTGTTAGCAGTAATTTAGAATACATAATATCTTGTGACAAGAGTAAGGCGCGCGTTGTTGCTTAAACTATAGAAAAGACGGACAAAGAAATGCAATTTTTCTGCTATAAGATAAGCATATACTCAATATATAAGAATAAAATTTGAAGCAGATTTCCCAAAAAACTACAAACATTACTTTGTGGAATGATCTTTTAGTGCAGATATATTTAACCGGATATACTATATACCTATATGTACACCAAATCAGATCCCGGGTATACAAACAAGGATTATCATAGGCGGAGAGATATACAGAAAGTCAGTACTCCCGAAGTAGTTCATAATTTCCGGTACAAATACTACGTAAGTCACTCGGGTAGTCCACAAACTCGTAATAGATTTATAATAAGGGTATTGGAACAATATTTTGGCCTAACCCTAACCTAGTACACATACTACGTTCCGGTGTCCGCCATCTTGGGGCACATACTTCGGGAGTACCGAAAACTCTGCGGCTACGTTATTCGCTAATTTCTAAGTAAAAGCTATAGTTATAAATCAACGTCAATTTTTACGTTTTTGTTAGCAGTGATTTAGCACACATAATATCTTGTGACAAGAGTTAGACTTCTGTCATGATTTCACTAAACAACTCCTTTTTCCAATTTATAATATTAAAAACCCTTTTTTATTTGCAAGGTATATACGAAGAAAATAAAAACGAGAATATCGGTTGGAAACCGAAGACTTATCGATCGATAGTTAGGGGATTCCCAAAACAGAAACTGCAGTTTCGATTCATCCGCTCTTGTAACTTGCGCACTGCGCATCGTACACACACACTCTGCGGGTCTCAAAATTCTCTCGCTTTACAAAAATCTAGATCACTATATCAATAATTGATTGATAACTCGCTAATTATACGACATAATTCACCCAAAATCAATAGGCTTCTGGTCCGAGATAAGATGAATGCACATGCAAAATCTGGAGCAGATTCAATCTCGCTTTCGTGAGATATGGCGTGCATCTAACAGTCATACAGACAAATACCTATCAACATACTTACCGATTAAAATCGATAAGTAATAACTATGTAACACGTAGTAAAAATAGCAATATTTTACTATATCAGATTGGGATCTTTCGTACAAAAACTTCTACACTAAAGCAAAAATGTGAGACTCAATAAAAACACATAGGTGAAGATTTAAATTAGTAACTATGTAATTGAAATTTTTTAATTTCCATCGCAATCTATAGGGGTTGTGCAAAAGATCCTTAAATTGAACCTAAATATGCAAATTATATTGAAAGAATTAAAAGATTTCGATTACATACTTACTTTTCTGACCAGACTCGATAGGCTTTTATCTCAATCAGTGATGAATACCAGGCAAATGACGTGGCAATTCTTTCGATGAAATGATGTACTGTCTCGCTAACTTTCAATCAGTGTTGGGGAAAGCTGAAAATAAATTTATTTTTAGTTTATTCTCAAAATATCATTGGCGTATCTAGGGTATGACAGCTATAGCTCCTACCATTAACGACTTAGGATTGCGGTGCAGAAAGAGTGAAAAGTCCTCATCCTAAATTGTTACAAAAAATAATTTCTGTCTTATCAGAAATTCAAAATTACGGTAAGCAGCTCGCATTGGTGATTAAACCGACGAAAGGAAAAACGAAAAAATGCAATCTTCCTGCTATAAGCTTATATTCAATATACAAAAAAAAAGATTTCCCAAATTTACAAATATTACAAAGTCGGAATGATCTTTTAGTGCGGTGATATTCAACCGGGCATACTATATACCCAAGTGTATACCAAGTCTGATCCCGGCTATACAAATAGCAATTGGTATACGATGGAGTACTTGAGCTACCGCCTAATTCAAATAAATTTCCCGGCCCGTTTTGTGTTTTTGAACGCGCACAGATCCCGTTCAACATCGGGAATCACTAATTCATAAGTACCGTATTTATCTATCCACGGCCACAAATCTTGCGTGATGAATTACATGAGCGAGTAGAAACCATAATAGGTAAAAGAAAATAAAGATTTGCGGCTACGTTATTTCTGACCACAATCTATAGTCATGAATCAACGTAAATTTTTACGTAGTTTGTTAATTTACACACACATTATCTTGTGACCAGAGTAAGACTTCTATCATGACTTCTCTAAACAACTTTTTTCTACTTTAAATTTGTAAACAATCTTTGTTATATTCGAGGTATAAAGTAAAGGTTCAAGAGCACTGTTTAGTGTATTAGATTAGGATCTTTCCTTGACACCACTTGACACCAATGCAAAAATTTGAGACTTGATGAAAACACCTGCGTTAAGTTATCATCTGGTTAGGGCTAGATAGGTTTTCGTGTCCCACGCGTTCCATGGGAATGCCATTCACATGGGCAAGCCTGACATAGATTGGAACAATTTGAAAATTTGAATTTCTAACCCAAACCCTGACAGGATAATTATTAATTTATTATTTTAACGTTAGCGGGGGTGTTTTGTTATTGCCGGGGGAGGAGATGTACAAAAGATACTTAATTGATCCTAAATATGCAAATGGAATTGAAAGACTCAAAAGATTTTGATTACATACTTGCTCTGTTTGATCAGTGATGAATACCAGACAATTGACCACGACGAAATTCTTTTGATTAAAGTGATGTACTGTCTTTCTAACGTTCAAGCAGTCTCTTAATTAAAAGGCTGAAAATGAATGTATTTTTAGTTCATTCTAAAATTATCAGAGGTGTATTTAGGTTAGTATTGCGACGCAAAAAGAGTGAAAACCTCAAATCGTAATTTGATAAAATAAATAATTTTAAATTACATATAATTGAAATCGTGACTAATCACTAATATCAAATTAAACAGCTAAACGTGGAAGTTCGGGTATCTGTGGTGGAATATATAAAATTTTACATAAGTAAAAAACAAGGTAATGGAAAGACTTCATGGCATTGAATTATTGCAGAGGACCTTCATAGAACACCTGGAACAGATCGACCCCAGGGGTTCGGTTAAATCAAACCTAGTTTGAAAAAAACGGAAACGACAGTGTCGTGCTCATTACGCCATATTCATTCGTTATTGCTCCAGTAAGGGTCGTTTAGAATTATTGTTGCTACTTTTCAACGCTAAAAAATAACGGGTATGTTGGGCAGAATAGTCTATGGCGCGATTCTACAAAATGAAAATGGTCTGGTTCTAACAGACTTTCCATAGAAAATGTATAGGCGCGCGTTGTTGCTTAAAACTATAGAAAAGACGAACAAAGAAATGCATTATTTCTGCTATAAAATAAGTATATACTCAATATATAAGAATAAAATTTGAAACAGATTTCCCAAAAAACTACAAACATTACTTTGTGGAATGATCTTTCAGTGCAGAGATATTTAACCGGATATACTATATACCTATATGTACACCAAATCAGATCCCGGGTATACAAACAAGAATTATTATAGGCGGAGAGATATACAGAAAAGTCAGCACTACCGGAGTAGTTCATAATTTCTGGTACAAATACTACGGAAGTCACTCGGGTAGTCCACGAACTCGTAATAGAACTACAATAAGGGTATTGGAACAATATTATGGCCTAACCCTAATCTGGTACACATACTAGGTTCCGGTGTCCGTCATCTTGGGGCACATACTTCGGGAGTACCGAAAACTCTGCGGCTACATTATTCGCTAATTTCTAAGTAAAAGCTATAGTTATAAATCAACGTAAATTTTTACGTTTTTTGTTAGCAGTAATTGAGCACACATAATATCTTGTGACAAGAGTTAACTTTTGTCATGATTTCACTAAACAACTCCTTTTTCCAATTTATAATATTAAATACCCTTTTTTATTTGAACTTATTTGCGAAGAAAATAAAAATAACTATGTAACACGTAGTAAAAAGAGCAATATTTTATTATATTAGAATGGGATCTTTCGTACAAAAACTTCGACACTAAAGCAAAAATGTGAGACTCAATAAAAACACATAGGTGAAGTTTTAAATTAGTATCTATGTAATTGAAATTTTTTAATTTCCATCGCAATCTATAAGGGTTGTGCAAAAGATTCTTAGATTGAACCTAAATATGCAAATTATATTGAAAGAATCAAAAGATTTCGATTACATACTTACTTTTCTGACCAGACTCGATAGGCTTTTATCTCAATCAGTGATGAATACCAGGCAAATGACGAGGCAATACTTTTGATGAAATGATGTACTGTCTTGCTAACTTTCAATCAGTGTTGGGGAAAGCTGAAAATAAATTTATTTTAAGTTTATTCTCAAAATATCATTGGCGTATCTAAGGTATGACAGCTATAGCTCCCCTACCATTAACGACTTATGATTGCGGTGCAAAATGAGTGAAAAGTTTTAATCCTAAATTCTTACGAATAATAATTTCTGTCTTATCACGAATTCAAAATTACGGTAAGCAGCTAAACGTGGAAGTTTGCATATCTGCAGTGGAATATAGTAAATTTTACATAAGTAAAATGCTGGGTAAAGGAAAGATTTTGTAAAATTATTCCAGAGGACCTTCAGGTTCGGTTCAATCAAACCCAGTCAAAAAAAAAACGTTACAACCAGTTTCGTGCTCATTACGCTATATTCACGGGTTATTGCTCCAATTAAAGGGGTTGTTTAGAAAGGTTGTTGCTACCTTTTTAACGCTAAATTACGGGTATGTGAGACAAAATAGTCAAAGGTGCGACTCGACGAAATAGTCTGGTTCTAACCTATTTGGCCCTAAATAAATATGACCGCGCATTGGGGGTCAAACTAGCGAAAAGGAGAACGAAGAAATGCTATTTTTCTGCTATAAGATAAACTCATACTAAATATACATAAAAGATAATTTGTCGCAGATTTCTTCAAAAATTACCTACTTGGAGTGATCTTTTAGTGCAGTTATATCCAACCGGATATACCATAAATAATCAGGTGTATACCAAGATAGATCCCGGCTATACAAATAGCAATTGGCATACGATGGTACACTAGAGCTATAGCCTGATTCAAATAATCAAATTTCCCGACCCGTTTTGTGTTTTTGAACGCGCACAGGTCCCGTTCAACATCGGGCTCAATAATTTATGAAGTATTTGTCTGTCCACGCCATGAAATTTTCGAGTACAGGCTATAGACACAAATCAAAGTCAATTTTTCCCTTTTTTTTATTTAGTACACATAATATTTTGTGACCAGCGTAAGACTTCTATCATGACTTCACCAAACAACTTTTTCTGCGCTATTTTATTGAATAATCTATGTTATTTGCGAGGTATATACGATGAAAATAAAAATTAAACAAGGTGTAACATGTAGTAAAAAGGCGAACAGCGCATATTAGCATATTAGATTGGAATATTTTGTAAAAAGCACTCGACAATAATGCAAAAATAAGCGCTCCTGAAGTATGCGTACCAAGATGGCGGACACCATAACATAGTATGTGTACCTGGTTAGGGCTAGGCCATAATTTTAGGTACAAATACTACGAGAGTCACATGGCTAGTCCCCGAACTCCTTTAAAGAACTAAAAATAAGGAAAATTGCAATAAAATCATAGCCTAACCCTAACCTGGTACACATACTACGTTCCGGCGTACGCCATGGTACGCGTACTTCAGGAGTACCGAAATATGAGACTTGATAGAAACACCTACGTCAAGTTTTAAAATAACAAATGAGTAATTTGAATTTCCAGTGCAATCTTCATTCTCGACCCAAATCTTAACCGAGTAGTAATAATTTTCTTATTTTGAGGGTTTGTGGGAGTGTTTTGGGTGCTCCCGAAGTATGCGAACCAAGATGGCGGACATCGGAACGTAACATGGGTAACAGGTTAGGGTTAGGCGATAATTTTTTCCAATTTTCCCTATTTTAATCCTATTATCAGTTCGAAGACTAGCCAAAAGCCTCCCGTAGTATTTATATCTAAAATTATGGCCTAACCCTAACCTAGTACACATATTACATTCCGACGTCCGCCATCTTGGTTCGCATACTTCGGGAGCCCCGTGTTTTGTTTTTGACCGAAGGATTTGTTCCAACGATCCTTAGATTTAACCTAATTACACAATTTAAATTAAAAGATTTCGATTACACTTTTCGATTACTTGCTTTGCTGGACTTGATAGGCTTCTATCTCACTCAGACGAATTTCTCTTGGTGAAGTAGTATACTGCCTTGTCAACTTCTAACAAGGGTTTAAGAAAGCTGAAAATAAATGTATGTGACATGATCGTCGTATTTTCATCAAAATAATAACGTACGAGTATCTCAATTTAACAACAGCCCTTCGAAATTATGATCCAACCATCAAGGGTCGCATTTTTAAACTTTTGCGTAAATACATCCCTGCAAATAATTCAGAGATTTTCCCTAAATTTATGAAATATTACTTATTTGGCATGGTCTGTACGTACATTGTGTTGCACCTCATCTTGTAAAAGACAAGTAAACTATTAACAATTATGTTATAATTCACCTTCTTATGAGAATCCTCTCTACAGTCCCAGATATCTGCAGACATTTAATTTCATAAGATACTACTCGCAGTTTCGAATTATATAACGGAGTACAATTATTATGACAAGAAACTGTCCAATGACGCTTTTATAACTGTTTATGGAATATACGACTTATTACTTCTGTTAAGTATGTGGAATTACCATATTGATTACGGGAATTTATGGATGTCGAAAAGTCAATAAAATGTATAAATATTACCTGTAGATTTTCCCTCGGTTTCGTTACATCGTGTTTTCGCATCTGCAATTTCAACATCAACAACAGTTCTGCATCTGAAGAGTTAAGATATTAATAATAAACTGTTGCAGAATTTTCTAATGCGGGAATGGGAATACGTCTATCTACAATAACTAATATATAAAAGTAAAAAAGCCAAGTATATACAAATCCATGGATTTGGTGTTATATTTGAGGTGCGAAAGTTATCTATATTACATTGATGTAAAGCGTGTCATGTGAAATGCAGCTTACGTAGTGACTTATATCGGGCGCGACTTAAAAAGTGTGAGAATCACTGAAATCTACGATATATATAATATGCGAGGACTCCTGAGAAAATATCGAATATCTGATGAATGAAACACTGAATGAGCTATTCTATTAACTTTGTATCTTTTGCTAACTCGTCAATTTAGAATGAGTCTCGTGTATGTTTAGATTTTAAGTTCATACTGAAAATAATAGGAAGTTGTAATTTCAACCAAAAAGATTTAGAAATCAGTTTATGAAAAGCAATACGTACAAAAATTGAGATAGTGAGCAACAACATTAATCAAATCAATACAAAAATATAGAGTTTTAGGGAAATCATATAACAGCTTTACAAACACTTGGTAATATTTGGCTCACCTGAATATTATTCCAAAGAGACAAACTGATAAAGAGTAATATTCCAGCCCCAACCACACACAAAATCGACCGCACTCCATCGTGTAAATTTGCTACTGGGGCGTTGTCGCTTGTGCTTCCCGCGCGTAGAGTGGATGAAATCGCTAATTAGTCCTTTGTAATTAAACGTTTTTAATTAGTCCCGTTATTCCAGGATCCAGCGGATCGCTTCGAGCGGATCACGCTTCTGACACGTGATCACGAAACATAAACAATGCAAATGACATTTGGTATTTGCTTAATACTACTTGTGATTGTTTGAATGCCAATTTAACACTAATTTCTCCGTCCAAACCAAACGTTGGAGACATAACATACATAGCAATATAATCGGGTTACATGTGGAAATCCTGTTTAATTTCTCAGACCGATGGTAACAATTGATAAAGACTCGATTCAGCGCCGAGCTATACAATACCCAAACTGGAGTTGCAACACCGAAGGTGAGACGCAGCAACGAAGTTTTGGGGTTGCAAAGAATACTCGAATTTCACACACGGAGTACTACCGGAATATCTAATGTAAATTTCATACTTTTGATTCAAAACACAACTATTAAAACTAATGAAACGTATAAATCCCACTATTTCAAAGCATTGCATAGAATCAGAGAAGCGCTAGGCTTGCATCGAACTGCAAAAGTTTTGGAAGCCCAGATTTAGCCAACTCTTAAATCAGTGATTCGTAACATTTTCGAGCCATCAGACAACCCTTCTATTACTCAGGGAATTTTGTCAAATCCCAAAATTTTGAACGGTTGAAACCAGGGGTGCAACCAGAACCTCATAGGGGGAGTGAATTTTGCGCAAGGTATATAACAGGGGTGAGTACATTTTTCGGTTTGCGTGCCAAAATCGGCTAAATTTAATTACAAAATTCTTTCGCGTGCCGACAAAAATTAAAAACAATGCTTTGCTACACAATAATAAACCCTTTAAATATGCACAGACAGTTTCAATATTCGGAAAAATACCAGTCCGACAAATATATGTGATTACTTTTCTTATTCTATATATATCAATGAGACTTCTATACTGCATTACCGCTAATAGAGATTGGAGATTGGGTTTATATTTTGTAACTTTCAAAGAAATACACGACATACTGGTTTCATGTTTTAGGCTACTTCTGTTACGAGACTAAATAAAGTTCATAATTGAGAATAGAGATCCACAAGTCTATGTAGAATAAAATACGGACAGTAATTCAGTTGCAAAGTTTTTAGGCCACGAAATATTTTCGGGAATGGCAATACAATCGCGCTATAGTTCGTTTTCTGCACTTCTCTCTTGTATTCCCTTCCCTAATCGCTTATATTTCTTTCTAAATCAATTTATAACAGTGAGTTAGTTTGTAAGTGTGCTTTTTTGTCTAGAAGCATATTGAGTGCACGACATTGCATTATATTACCCAAATATATGTTATTATTTTCTGTTCCGGCCATTTTAATTTTTTGCCGGTACGCGAGAACATTTAATCTAATTTTACCGGTCCGCCAGAATAGAAAGGTTAGGAACCGCTGGCATAGACGAACTATTTTATGTAAGTATGTAGCCAAATGAATGCTGCGCTCTTCTCGACTAAATTTGTCAAGAGCTCACTCAGTTGGTATGTCATAATATATTTCTTTGTAACCATATGTCATGAAAGTACTAAAAGAGTTTAAATAAACAACGGATCGTTATTAAACGATAATAAATAAACGAAAACCTAGTTTCATAGATAATTCAGAGTCTTGAAACTTTTTATCTGAGGGAGGATGATCTCGTTTCCGAGTCCTCATTCGCGTGCCAACTAAATGGGCTCGCGTGCAACTTCATCGCCCCCGGCGCTATAAAAAATAATGCAAAATCAGAAACGTATATACGGTACCACATACCAAATAAACAAAGAAAAAATCATAGTTAATAGTGTTTTCAATTAGATGAATGAGTTTGGTGGTCTTCAGCGAGTTTTTTTAATATTTGGTGACATTTTTGTCAGGCACAATCTCAAATCATCCTTGACGGAAAGGCGATTTCGTTGTTTTGATAGTAAGAGTGTGAAGTTGCACGCGAGTACGGATGAAAACCCCTTTTCCACCATATAACAGGTCGGAAATAAAAGAATCCAGAATTCTGCCTCAACATAAACCGTCGGGTACATGCCTGATCAGTTTTGTCGCCATGATTCAGTGAAGCGTCGCGGGTCGGATTATTTTACTCCGTTGGCCGCAGGTTGTCGACCCCTGGGCTACGCGAATTACCTTGCGCCGTGGAATCCTTTCACATGTGATAACGCCCACAGCGTTCAAACCTGCATTGATTAGCGTATATTTTTCATCATAATCTGGGGAAATGTGACGTATGGTCTAAGAATGAATAGAAGGTACATCCCAGGCGCAATTTACTGCGTTTCATCTTTAGTAGCTGCGGTAGCAACCTTCACCTGCCGCGAAGCTTTCAAGACAAAATTTACGGTGTTTATCGTTTATTTCTAATGTGTATAATTTTGTTTCAATTTGTAAAGAAGCACAACGCCGCGACAATTTTAAACTGAGATGTTTTATAAATTAAGAAACAGTAAACCCTCAGACGGTCAGTTGGCAATGGAGACAGAAAGATCAAATTGATGAACCGTCTTCCGGTCTTATTATTCTTCCATTCAGAGTCAGAAATTTGGTTTGCAGATTTACAGTATGTTCAATGTAATTTTCGCGGGGCAGTCTAGTCGTGGGCTGCCAAGCGTGGCGTCGTTAATTAAGTAATATTCTAATTAACGCGATCCTCGTCAGTAGCGGTGGCGCAGGGGAAGCGTAGGGACATGGTCAAACATCAGGCCAGGAGTTCGAATCCCACAAGGTAGACTGAGGTATGAGCATAGGCCAGCAGGCGAGCCAGGAGTTATGTAGATAAGCAAGCGGTCGAAGGAGGGGTAGCGGCGGGATAGCAAGTGAGAAAGTGCAGGAAAGGCAGTCCACGAGCAAGTGAGGACCAGCCAACAGAGAGTGCAGCTGACTAGGGCGTGGAGGGGTGAAAGAAAGGCAGTCGACGAGCAGTGTGGAGGAGGAAAGGCAGTCGGCTAGTAAACTGAAACCATCCAACAGTGTGAGTGCAGCTAGAGACCGCTGAGCTGTAAGCATGGGTGGGCCTGGAGGAGAGTCCGGTGTGCAAGTGAAACAAACAAGTGTGGGTGCAGCGTAAATAGCAAGATGGGGTCAAAGTCAAGTGCAGTACCCAAGCAAAAGACCGGCTGAGCTGCAAGAATGGGCCGGCCGGTGAGCAGGTGGGAGACACCCTGAGCTGTACGGATGGGGCCGTGGAGGAGGGGAAAGGCAGTCGGCGAGCAAGTAAGCCCGATGGGGCGGGGGAGGATGGGTAGCGAGCGAGGAAGGCAGGTTAGGAGAATAGCTGCCAAGGATGGGTAGCGATGGCTGCCAAGGATGGATGATGGATGATGGATGATGGATGTTGGGTAGTTGGGTAGTTGGGTAGTAGCGAGCGAGGAAGGCGCGGGTTAGGAGAATAGCTGCCAAGGATGGGTAGCGAGCGAGGAAAGCAGGTTAGGAGAATAGCTGTATGGAGCCGTGGAGGAGGGGAGAAAGGCAGTCGGCGATATATAAGCCCGATGGGGCGGGGGAGGATGGGTAGCGAGCGAGGAAGGCAGGTTAGGAGAATAGCTGATATAAGCCCGATGGGGCGGGGGAGGATGGGTAGCGAGCGAGGAAGGGCAGGTTAGGAGAATAGCTGCCAAGGATGGGCAGCGATGGATAGCGAGGAAAGCGAGCGAGGAAAGGCGCAGGTTAGGAGAATTAGAGATGATGGGTACTAGCGAGCGACGCTGCCAAGGATGGGTAGCGAGCGATGGGGGATGTTGGGGTAGTTGGGTAGTAGCGAGCGAGGAAGGCGCAGGTTAGGAGAATTAGAGATGATGGGTACTAGCGAGCGAGGAAAGGCGCAGGTTAGGAGATTAGCTGCCAAGGATGGGTAGCGAGCGAGGAAGGCAGGTTAGGAGAATGCCAGAGAACGCAAATGCAGAGATGATGGGTACTAGCGAGCGAGGAAAGGCGCAGGTTGTTAGGAGATTAGCTGCCAAGGATGATGGGTAGCGAGCGAGGAAGGCAGAGGTTAGGAGAATGCCAGAGAACGCCAAGTGCAGTACCAAAGCAAAAGACCGCTGAGCTGCAAGAATGGGCCGGCCGGTGAGCAGGTGGGAGACACCCTGAGCTGTACGGATGGGGCCGTGGAGGAGGGGAAACGCCAGAGAATGCCAAGTGAAGTACCAAAGCAAAAGACCGCTGAGCTGCAAGAATGGGCCGGCCGGTGAGCAGCAGGTGGGAGACACCCTGAGCTGTACGGATGGGGCCGTGGAGGAGGGGAAAGGCAGTCGGCGAGCAAGTAAGCCCGATGGGGCGGGGGAGGATAGGTAGGTAGCGAGCGAGGAAGGCAGGTTGCTGCCAAGGATGGGTAGCGATGATGGGTAGCGATGGCTGCCAAGGATGGATGTTGGGTAGTTGGGTAGTAGCGAGCGAGGAAGGCGCAGGTTAGGAGAATAGCTGCCAAGGATGGGTAGCGAGCGAGGAAAGCAGGTTAGGAGAATAGCTGTACGGATGGAGCCGTGGAGGAGGGGAGAAAGGCAGTCGGCGATATATAAGCCCGATGGGGCGGGGGAGGATGGGTAGCGAGCGAGGAAGGCAGGTTAGGAGAATAGCTGATAATAAGCCCGATGGGGCGGGAGAGGATGGGTAGCGAGCGAGGAAGGGCAGGTTAGGAGAATAGCTGCCAAGGATGGGTAGCGATGGCTGCCAAGGATGGATGATGGGGGATGTTGGGGTAGTTGGGTAGTAGCGAGCGAGGAAGGCGCAGGTTAGGAGAATAGCTGCCAAGGATGGGTAGCGAGCGAGGAAAGTAGGTTAGGAGAATAGCTGCCAAGGATGGGTAGCGAGCGAGGAAAGCAGGTTAAGAGAATAGCGGCCAAGGATGGGTAGCGATGGATGATGGGATGATGATGGGATGATGGGGGATGTTGGGTAGTTGGGTAGTAGCGAGCGAGGAAGGCGCAGGTTAGGAGAATAGAAGATGATGGGTACTAGCGAGCGAGGAAAGGCGCAGGTTAGGAGATTAGCTGCCAAGG